TACTCACTGAAGTTCGAGAACGCTGAACAAGCTGCCATTGGTTGAAGGAGTTCACTGGGCTCTTGTGTAACGGCCTCTGCCGTAGGTCAGCCTAGTGAAAGCACCAGCTGGAGGAGACCAGTGGCACCAAGGAGAGCAAAAGCAAGAATGGCCGAAACCTGGGATTCCTGCCGGATCTTGCTCACCATCTCGCTATTTCTACATACAGTAAGAAACAGCTCCTATAGTCGTGGTTCTCAGCGGCCTGGGTTCAACTCCCAACTCTGCTGCGTACCACATGTATAACCCGGGGCAGAGTATTTAATGCTCTGTGCCTCAATTTCCCCATCTTTAAGTAGGTGTAATAATATATGTCACACGTTTTTAATGTAATTAAATGAAATGATGCACATAAAGAAATCAAGGCCTGGCATTATACAAGTGCCAGCTATTATTATGAATATCTGCAGAATAAATAACCAAATGAGAATTGATTACCATAGTTTAATTTGCCATTTTTGGCAAAGATTCTTATCTTGCCAAGGCCCCCCAAATCCATCCTGTTCTCCTTCTTCCTGGGCACATAGCTGCCCAACCGGACCACATTTCCCATCCTCCCTTGGGCACAGTATGGCCATGTGACTGAGTTCTCACCACGGAACCCGAGCAGGAGTGATGCACACAACTTCCACACTTGGGAAAGACGCATGTCTCTGCCCTTGCTCTCCGCTGCCTGGGAAAGGCAGCAAATACAGCAACCTTGGAAGCTGAGGGCCCAGAGGGGCGGAGATGCCCCATTAGCCTGTGTCCTGATAGGATGACTTCTTTTTTTTAGTTTATTTTTTAAATTAAAAAAAAATTTAAGTGTATAATTTATGGTTTTTAATATATTTACAAAGTTGTGCGCCACTACCTAATTCTAGAACATTTTCATCACCCCAAAAGGAAGCCCTATATCCGTTAGCAGTCACTTCTCATTCCTCCCCTCCTCCCATACTCTGACAACCACTAATCTACCTTCTGTCTATGGATTTGCCTGTTCTGGACATTTCATGTAAATGGAATCTTACCACATGTGGCCTTTTATGTCTGGCTTATTTGCTTAGCATAATGTTTTCAAGATTGATCCATGGCGTAGCATGCTCCAGTACCTCATTCCTTTTTTATGGCTGAATAATATTTCATTGCATGCATATACTACATTTTGTTTATCCATTCATCAAGTGATGGACTTTTGGGTTGTTTCCACTTTTTGGCTATTATGAGTGATGTTGCTGTGAACATTCGTGGATGAGTTTTTGTGAAGACGTGTTTTCATTTCTCTGGGGTATGGAACTAGGAGTGGAGTTACTGGGTCACATTTAACTCTAGATTTAACTTTCGAGGCGTGGCCAGACCGTTTTCCAGAGAAGCCACACCATTTTACATCCGCTAGACCTCTTGGAACAGAGCAGCCTACACACCTGGACTGTCACAATCCAAATCATATTCTGTTGTGCCTTTTGGGGTGTTTTTGATATAGCAGCTCAGCTGTGCCCCTGATATAGCATCCCACTGAATCTTCTTACCAGTCATGGCAATAAAAGGAATCAAGTCAACATGTCTGGTCTGGTAGAAAACCTACCCAATACGGAATAGTCTTGCATTAAGGTGGAAAATTCCACAATCCATGCATCCACTTGTTTGTTTACTCATTCATCCAAAAATTTTGATGATTTGCCAGACATTATTAGCCCACGTCCCTGCCTTTAGACATCTTACCACCTAACTAGAAAGCCAGGCATTTTGGCCACCAGGATAGACCTTGCATGTGGAATTCAGGCAAAACTGGATGGGGGTCCAGATTCTGCCTCACTTGCTGGATGAAGGCCTCCGGGCAGGTATCTTTAGCTCTCTGAGGCTCACTTTCCTCATCTGTAAAGTGGGGACACTAACCCCTACCTTGCAGGGAACTTGTGCTGATGAGGAATAAAGTACGCTAAATGACGGGTACCTAGCAGTTGCCAGCATTGGTTGTTTTTAGGAACTCCTCACCATGCCCTCTGCTAAAGTCTATCTTGGAGGGATGAACAGAGCACCATGGAGGGCTCAATGGGTTCTCCTCCAGAGTCAAGGAGATTCGAAGGGCTTCACAGAGGAGGGAAGGGTTCAACTGGCTCTGAAGGCTGGGGAGGAGATTACCAGGGAGGAGGTGTGAGGAGGGCAGAGGGAGCCGGCAGTGCAAAGATGGAGAAGCTGGAAGAACACGGCCTGGGGGTAGAGCAGTTCTGAGCCTTCAGTGGGTGAGTTCTGAGTCTGTGCTCCCCCGCCCACCCCATCACTGTCCCCCCGCCGCTGTCCAGCCCTGGCCTGGCCCCAGGGGCTTCTGTGGCCTCTGCTCAGGAGAGCTAGGTTTCCACGCGCCTTTGAGCCCCACTTCCTTCCTCCTCCTCTGGAGACGTGACGCTCTGCTCGTTCAGAGGCAGGCTTTAATCAGGGCTTAAGACCAGTCGAAGCCCCAAGGACCTTGGTTGCCTGACCTGGTTTTTTAAAACTCCAGTCTCCATCTGGGTTTGGGGGTTTTCAGTGCTTCCCTACTGCATTAGGGACAAAGGAGTTGGGTTTTTCCATTTGCACGAAAATCAGGAAGTGATGATGATGATGACTGTACCGGTATTAATAAAATAACAACTTTCTGTTGAATAACTCAGCATGGCGGGGTGGGAAGAGCACAGTCTGAGTTAACAGGGGATCGAGACTTTGATCCTGATCCTGTGAGTTGTTCTCAGCCAGTTTGCTCTCCTGAGGTATGAGGGACTTAGGCCTGATGCACTTCCTGGACCCTCGAATCCGACAGTCTGAGATTCCCTAAGGGGCCCTAGACTATGCAGCCCAGTTCACCATCTCCAGGAGCACCGGTCCTGTGTTTCAACCCAGGGGCCATCCACGGGGTCACCCAGGGAGAGTCCCGCCACCTCTCTCGGCCTCTGCTTCTTCCCAGAGGTGGTCTGAGGATTGCAAGCAGGTGAGTGAACCAGCATCGCTTTGCCCCTGGAATGAACGCCTGGGGCAGCATCTTCTTGGAGGAAAGTGAGCCCCAGGCCTGGTGTGAGAAGAAGTCTGGAGGCCCAGGTCTAACGATCAACTCCTTGAGCCGGAGGGCATGTCCTCCCTCAGCTGGGTTGTATTAACTGTGTCATTTATTGTCTGTATTTGATGCTATGACATCTGGGGCCTCACTGACCCTGGAGGGCCTGGCCCTCCCAGGACTTCCAATTCCTACAGATAGTAAACAACCCACCTGCTACTGCACTTTTCAGATACAAACCTGAACCCCTAACCACCTCCTTTATTGGGCTCTCACACTCTGGACCTCTGTCCCCCTGTCCTAATCACCCCAGGTACCAGACAACTAGGAACCGCCTCTGTGCCCCAGAGCCAGCTCAAAATATTTGGACTAGCCAATCCTATGCCTGCTTCCCCTGCCTTGTGGGACTTGTCCATAGTTCCGCCTCTCTTTCTACCTCCTGACCGACCCTAGTGCTTCCCCAGGTGGCCCCCCACAGCGTGGCTTATCCCCTCCTATTGGGATCTGTGAGCAACAAACTATCTTTTCAATGGCAGTCATTGCTGGTCTGTTGGAAACTCAAATTTTCTGTTAATGCACTATATTTTAAAACATGGGCCTCCTGCAACGATGCCCACGTCCGCTGTGCTTCCTGCACCTCCGAGCAGCAGAGCTCCTATCTGACAGTCAGCTCACCAGAGGCCAGGTGTCCTCAGGACCTCCTGGTGTCTGCTGTGGCCTTCCAGGCTGGCATGCACTGAGGCAGCCATCCACATGGGTCTCTTTGGTCTAGAGGCCGAATGAGAATGTGCAGTGCGAGGACATCAGTGTGCTGGTTCCCATCTAAGGCTGATGGGATCTAAGGAATGGTGGGGTATTTCTGTTTTTTCTACATGCTTTTCTGTGTTTTCTAATGTCCTAAAGGGAACATCCATTCCTTTTAAAATTAGGAAAAATGTTGCAGAATATCTACTCTCCCTCCGTATTTAAAGACTCCTCCAATTCAGCTGAAGGATACTGCCCCTACCAGGTAGCTCATGCTGTGTGCTGTTGGAACACAAATAGAATGAGGGAGACACGCTCCCTGCTCTCAAGGAGCTTTCAGTCTTGGAATATTCTAGGATGGTGCACGAGAATAAAATAAGCCAGAGGGATGAAGAATTTAGAATTGAGGACAACACGTGTGCCACAAGCAAATGACAAGGCACAGGTGAACTTTTTTTCCTTTTTATGACTACTTTCAACCCATTTCACCCACCCCCTACCCATCTGTGAATTTCTTTTTAATTGGCTCAAAGCAACTTTATTGCTATTGATCAAGACAGACATTACTTACATTGACTTCCAAAATATGAGCTTAAGAGAAATACCTGGATATTGAAGAGGAATATCAGGACTGAAATAACTAAAGGGACAGTGTCATGCATGGCCATAGGCACAAACTATAGTATAAGCATCTTTAAGAGATTATTTAATAACATTTCAACAATAGAGTGAATTTTAATGAGTAAAAATTGTGGAAAAGTATTAGGTATATTTATGAAAAATTCTTTATATATTTTATCCATTCATCATATCTTTTTCTATCTTCAAAAGCTATTAAGCACTGCCTCCATTATGGCTCCATCAACTCAGACAAAGCAATTTTAAAGTTGTTTTCTTCCCCTTCATTCATTTAACAAGTACGTCTTGCACATTCATTATTCGTAAGATGCTGCACGTGCTCTGGGCGGTGCTTCAGATCCGTGCACTGTGTCCTCAAGAACTCACCATTTCATTGCAGAAGGTAGATTGCATATAATAAAAGTTCTTCTTTTTTTTTTTTGAGCCCACTCTGATGGCCTAGCAGTTAAAGTTTGATAGTCTCACTGCTTTGGCAGCCCAGGTTCTTTTCCTGGTCTCAAAACCACACCACCTGTCTGTCAGTAGCCATATTGTGGGGTAGGCTCACATAGAAGAACTAGAAGGACTTACAACTAGGATAGACAACCATGCACTGGGCTTTGGGAGAGAAAAACAAAAAAAGATCTAAATAAGATCAATTCAAAACCCTGCTCTGCATCCTACGGAAGATCCAGGGTCATCAGCAAATGTTAAAAAAAAAAAAAATGAGTTTTTAAAAAACGGATTAAAAAGCCCCAAACTCAGCTGTAGGGATCAGGAAGAGCATCGAGGAAGTGGTGTTAGACAGGTGGGCCTTGAAGGGTGGGCAAGGTGAGGACGGAGGATTAGGAGGGGCAGAGGGTCAGGAGGCAGCATCCGGGGTGAGGGGCGGGGAGAACAGAATGACGTCCAAGAGCTTGGGCGTTGGGCTCAGTGGGGCCTGGGTCCCCCACTGTGAGCTGGGACTGTCCTGCTGAACGAAACTGCAGTGGGCTCCTGCTCCCCCCTCTCCAGACCTGTGACCTTGGGAATTCATCGAACTTTCTCACACGTGTGAAAGGAGCATGATAAAAACCTCTAGCTCGCTGTGCTGTCCCCAGGAGGAACTAAGACGATGCGTGTGAAGAGGGGAGGACTCGGGACCCACGTGGCTTCTCAGTGACCGTTCATCCATTCATTCATTCAGCACGTGGTGTTTGGGCCCCTGCTGTGCCAGGCCCTGTGCGTTTCACAGCAGTGAACAAAACCAACGGAAATCCCTCCCTCGTCGAGCTTACGTTATAGTGTGGGGGGGGGGCGGGATGGAAAATATGAGAGATAAAAGAACTACAGTTAGGCAGTGATAAAGTGAGTGAGTTAGGCAGTGACAAGTGTGATAAGGACAAATAAAGCAGGGATAGAGATGTATCCGGGTGCCACAGAGGGGAAGAGGTGTTACAATTGGTTATCATTTAGTTTGGGTGGGAAACAGGTTATATGATTTGCGGAGAGTAGAAGGACAATGTTTCTGTGATTAAGTTGGATCTTCGAGCGGTGAGGTGGCTTGAACTGTGCTTCGGGGAGGTAAGGTGGCTGCCCCTGATTCCAGGGTCAAAGGGGCCAGGCAGCAGGGAGGCACCAGCAATGGGAAAGGAGAGCGAAGGCGACTGGGAACCAGCCAGCGGAGGAGGAGGCCTCAGATCGGAGCTGGTGAGCACCAACGTGGGGCGGAATCCATCCTGCTTGTGGGTTCCTTGGCCTGATCGATCAGAGCCAGCCTGGGCTGGGAGAAGTGAGGCAGGTGTGAGTCAAGAGGCGTGAGTCAAGAGGCGTGACAGGGGACTCAGAAAACTTCATCCTCCCAGCTGATCACCTCCCTGGAGCCTGGGGAGGTGAGAGGGGCAGGAAGGTAGACACACAGGAGGCTGGAGGGACATGAAAACGAAGTGAATGTCTCTCTTTCCCACTGGCAAAAAGGTAGTGGGTACACAAAGAGTAGGAGTCATCTTGAGATTTCCCCCAAATCCACAGAGCTAGTCCTTATTGCACCAGTATGGCCGTTTCTGTGGACCACCTGGGCTCTGGAACTCAGGGGACCCAATGCCCTGTCGTGGGAAAGGTGGGGGTCTCACTGTGAGAGGTGCGTTCTCTGGGCGGATTTGCCTTCGGGGTGGCTGTTCGTCTCTTAAACCAAGTGTCAAGAGCGCGGTTATTTGCGGAGGAACTTCGGCCCGCTCTTCAGCCTCTTTCCCAGGGAACTTGGGGAATATTTACCCAGCAGTTCTCAGCAGAGCCTTGCGAGCTGCTGGCGGGCAGGCGCGACTCAGCACAGCAACATGGAGAAGGGAAGGGATCTGGGAACCGAGGGCCTTGTGGGAAATGTAAATTACCACAATGTAAATAAAGAACTTCCCAGTAAACGCGCAAATGAAAAGCAGGCGGCGATCTCCCGGGAATAGCAATCAGGCTCGGCGTGGTTCTGCCTCGCCCGACTCTGACGAGAGATGCCACCCGGAGGCTGCCCGTCTATTTTTAACAGAGGAACCACCTCCGTGTCAGGTGACCGCCCGAGCCACAGAGCAGAGCTCAGTCCTGTGGGAGAGCGGTGTGTCCGGAGCCCTCCCCGACTGGGAGTCCTCTGCCCACAGACGTCCATAAAACCCCTGGACGTGCCCATCTGCCTCTCCAGCCCCTCAGGCGGCCCTTTCACACTCCCCTTTTACAGGGGAGAACACATAACCTACCCCCAACCCAGCCTCTGCTAGCCCACAGAGCCTTTGCATGAATTAGAAAAGGGGCCCATGTACCTTAAATATAAACAGTTTTTATTACAAAAAAAGAAAAGGAGAAAATAAAAGGGGCCCTTCCTGGAGTAACTCTTTTAAGTTAGTACCACCTGAAACCCTGGACGGTTCAGCCCACCACTGCCTGGGGAGCTCTCAGGCCCCAGTGGGCAGCAACCCTAGCAACCCCTGCCCTCTGACCCAGCAAAGAGGCCAGCAACGTCACATCCGATCCACCCCTCCCTCCCTTTCCTGCTTCCCACCCACCACCAAGGTCAGGCAACTGTTCCACATTGTGGGGCCAGGAATTGAGCTTCCTAAGGGGCAGGCAGCAAGGAGAAGTGACTGCAGGTCCCTTCCAGAGCAGAGCTGGGATAGGGTGCCATGACGTAGGCCTGTGCTAATGAGTGTGCCAGGCGAATTTATGTAGGAGGGCTCTCTCCTCTGCTGCTGTAGGACTCAGCCAGGAGGCCTGGAACCTCTGTGCCCACCCACACACTCTCAGATAAGTTGGCGTATGTCTACAATGTAAACAGCACCTCTTCCCAAGACATTGCATCCTTGGGCAGTTCACAACATGAACAACTGTTCATGGATGGCATTTTTGTCCAGGTCACACAGCCTGTGAGTTAGGCTTCACACACAAGCCTCATGGCTTCTAGTGGTCCTCACTAGAGAGTTAGTACTTAAGACTAAATCATCTTGAGCTGTATCCTCTTTCTCTGATCCTGCTCCACCTTCACTGCCCAGATGTAGCTTCCCTTGGACCATTGGGGAAGGCCATGTCTAGGGGAGGGAGGAAGATACGGCTCCCCTCAGAGCGCCTTCTTCCCTCTGGAGGAGAAGGGCAGTTCTATTCCCTTAAGCTGCTAACTTCATTAAAAGATATTGATTTGTAAGACACCCGTTGCTGAGGGCTACCCGCCCCTCCCCCCCACCAGCCGCCATGACAGCCTTTGTTCTTGGAACTGGTACCCTTTCATTCCCCATCCGCCATTCCCATCTATTTTATTTCTCATAAAACAGTATTGCTGCAACATCAGGGAGAATTTAAAGAAAAACCATCCGCCATGGTTCCATCTTTGTGGCACAGTTGTCCAATGGTTCTTTCCATGTCCCGTGTTCCCGGGGGCACTTGCCCGTGTGCACGTGTGTTTGTGCGTGGTTGAAGACCTGCTGCACACACACTTTAAGATCCCTGGCTTCTGGAGAGCGGAAGCATTTGGAGACTATCTCCCAGCTCCCCGCGTAGGTGGGGTGGGGCTTGCCGCCTCTCCTCAGGGGGATGTGTTTGTTGGCGGGAACCAAAGGGGAGAAGTGAAGTTTTGTGGACGGTCTTGGGGGTGATTTTATTTTTTATCCACAAGGCAGAGCAAGTGGATCTTGGTCCCGTGGCGATTCTCAGGAACAGACGGCTAGAAACAGATTCGATCAGTGAAAGCTGTTTCCAGAGAGGACGCGCCATCGGTAAATTCCTGCCCTGCCCGCGGTCGGTGGGGGCGCACCTGTCTGCGGGAACCCGTGGGGCCGCGAAGGGGCGGAGGGGCGGTGCCGGCGGGAGCAGGGCGACAGGTGACAGGTGACGGTGCCGGCCGGGCTGCGGTCCTCCCTGGGACGCGCTGCCGCCTGGCTGCCCCCGCGCTGTCTGGGAATGAGGAAGACATCAGTTCCTCAGGGCCAGCTTTCTTTCTAATTAGCGCAAGGAGGATCAGGACCCATATTTGCCCGTGATGGGTGGGCTCGCCCAGGCCGGCGGGGACCGTGACTCAGGGCAGAGGGTCGAGCGTGCCGAGCTGGAGTCGCGAGCTTCCTTAAGGCAGAGACTTTAGACATAAAATGAGCCGTATGCCCCCAGTCCTGGCCCCCTCCCTTTTATCGTCACTGAGGGAGGGAGGCCTGGAGGAGGAAGATTTGTCTCAGGTGACACCCCGCCCACCCCAGCGTAGGGCGTGGCAGGTGAAGGGCAAGCTGGGCGTCAGCCCCCTGAACGCCTCTGCCGGCCCCACTGAAGCTCTTCCCCACCCTGACGTAGCAGCCCCTTCAGCGCTGTGACCTGGCATTCCCTGAGTCCAGACCAGAAGAGTGGCCTGAAATGGCCCCGGGGTGACTCTCGTGGGCAGGGGAATGACAATATCTGTAAGAGTTGAGCCCTGGGGGTGGGTGATCCAGAAGGGGGTTGGTGGAGGTGCTGCTGTGAACGGGGCTGGTAGCTTGCAGGAGGTCAGCCTGTGGTTTCCACATAGCAGAGTCTGGGCCCTCCCGGAAGTTCTGATTTGCAAAGAGGGGCCTTTCTCAGCAGAGGTAGGCAGGTTGTCCCTGCAGCTCTGGGCCAGGCTGGCAGCTCTCTGGGTTCAGGAAGGCGGGGAGTGAGATGGTGTGCAGGGAAGGGCTTGTGGACAGAGGAGCTACACACCCATGCATGCACACGCATGCACCGGCATGCACATGTACCCCTATGCATACATCCACGCACATGCATACGCATCGTCATTGCTGCTAGAGGTGATGGTGACACGGTCGTTTCCAAGGGCTTCTAGCTAGGCAGGAGCATTTTGTTCATTTTCAGTCAGGTGGCACTGTTGTCGGAGAGATTGGGTCCCGGGTTGACCTCACGCCCTCCCTTCCTCTGCCAGGCCTTCTCCCGTCTCCCTCCCCCTTCTCTCCCTCTTGTCCTCCTTCTGCTCTTGTCTGGGGCACTGGGTCCCACACCTGTTTACCTCTTGATTTGCCAGCTTTGGTGACAAAGCATGTGTCACTGGATGTGTGGACACGACCTTGTCTCGTTCAGCCGGTGCAGGGAGGGGAGAACGTGGAGCTGAGCTATACTGGAAAGAGGTGGAGGTGTGTGAAAGGGAACAGAGAGGAGGGCAGCCCCGTCCTGGGCTGGGACCGCGTGGCCTTCCTGCAGTGGCTGCAGAGTGGAAAGGACAGGCAGCAGACATAAATCAAAACCTTGCATCTGCTGCTACTGAGCTGTGTGTCCCTGGGCAAATTATGTAAACTCTCTGAGCATTTGTGAAATGGGGATTATGATCCTCCCAGGGCTGTTATGATTAAATGGGTTGAGTAGGGTGAAGCTGGCCAGAAACAGCAAACCCAGGCTGGAGACAGGCACAGAGAGCTCCCGCCCCAGGGCTTTCCTGGCCGAGGGCACTGGGGCATTGTGACAGGGCGTAGACCACACTGTTTCGGGTGTCTTGCTTTTTCGTCTATGTGGACATTTCTATCGTCTTTGCAACTGCCCTGACCATCCAGCTCAGGCGTCCCTCCCCAGGGAGTTCTGCCTGACTGTCCTTGTATGCCCCGTGCTTGCCAGTCATGACTCCAGTGTGTGACGTTCTGCTGTTGACATTCACCCACTGTCTGTCGTGCCCTCCAGGGTGGGGGTCAGGACCGCTTCAATATCTCCAGTTCTGGCCTGAGCACAGGACCGAGGCATTCAGCAAACGCTGTCCAAATGAAAGGCAAAAAACACCCAAAAAACAAAATCCCATAGTTCTTGTCCTCAAGCCACTCAGGGTAGCAGAGGAGACAGACATGATGTCAATTTCAGCCATTTGCTGAGTTCCTACTCTGGGCCAGCCTGTGTCAGCCACACATGCCCCGCCCTTCCCCCCAAGACCCCACTGTAGGTCTAATCTCTCTACAGCGCTGGGAGGGTTCTGGAGGTGCTGTAAGAGCAGAGGCAGACTGTGCCTCAGGGATGGCTCAGAGGAGGTCACAGCTGAGCCAAGTCTTGAAGGGATGATGGAAGTTCACCAGGAGACTGGAATTCCAGGCAGAGGGAACAACATATGCAAAGTTACAGAGGCATGAAAGAATGTGAATGCAAAATGTGACTTGGTTTTCTGAAAGCTAACTCTGGCCAGGTGAGGAGGCTGGATGGATGGAAGGGAGCCAAGTCAAGGGGTGAGCAGTGGTGGGTACAAGGTCCCAGGGCATTCTCCACACAGTGTACCCCTGCTGGCTTTCCCATCTGCTCCAGCCTCAGGCCTCTCCTCCCTACCCCTTCAGCTCCCTTCAGAGGTCCAGAATTTTCTGTCTTGCTGTTAGATTACGTCCAGCTGCAACCAATTTCTGATCGTGGACTGGATGTAAGACTCCAGGCCCTGTGGTCCGAAGACTGAAGGTTGACCTACCTGAGCTTCTGGAAAATGGGTACTCTCAGGAGCTCCGCCTGCCTCAGAGGAACATTGCAAATGACAGGGTGGGTAGGAATGTGCCTCCAAACTAGGGAGGAGAGGACATTCTTCTGTGGGAGCGTCCAATCTTGACTGGAAATGGAAAGAAGGGAGGAGAGGAAACCAACTGGGACCCAAGGGGGAGGGATGGGTGCAGAAAACCAGAGTGAGAGCGAGAGCCGGGCGGGCGGGAGGAGAGGCCCCTCTGCCCTGGGCACTCCGTTCATTCGCTCACTCACTCATTCATTTGACAAATACTTACCAAGCACCCTCTGCGTGCCAGACTCCGCTGGAGGCACTGGGGATTTGGTGGTGAAGAAGACGCACAAGATTTCTACCTTCACGGAGTTTGCATTCTGACGGGGAAGGCAATAAACCAGCACAATGAATCATTTTAATTTCTGACGATAACAAGTGCTATGGAGAGAAAAGGCTGGGGACGGGGGCGGCGCCTAGGGGGACGGTGCTGCTTCAGATTCGGTGGCTGGGGGCAGGCTGGCTGTGCTGTGGCATCTAAGCAGAGGGCTTGGGGATGGTTAGGAGCACAGCAGATCTGAGACGATCGGGGAGACAGGTCTTCCAGGCAGGGGAACGGCAAATATGAAGGTCCCAGAGTGGGAACATGCTTGGAATGTGTGAGGGCCAGCAAGGAAGCCAGTTTGGTCGGAGCGGAGTGAGTGAGGAGGACAATGGTAGGGGGTAGGGAGGCAGGCCATGGGAAGAACTGTGGATTTTATGCCAAGAATAACAGGAAGATGCTGGAGGGCTTTTGATATAGGAAGATGTATTAGAGTTTTCCAGAGAAACAGAACCAATAGGATATATAGAGATACATAGAAAGAGGTTTATTGTGAGGGACTGACTCATGCAGTTATGTAGACTGAGGAGTTCCAGGATCTGCCATCTGCAAGCTGGAGGCCCAGGAAAGCAGGTGATAGAATTCAGTCCTAGTGCGAAGGCCTGGGAATCAAAAGCACTGATGTCCGAGGGCAGAAGGTGAATGTCCCAGCTCAAGAAGAGAGAGTGAATTCGCCCTTCCTCTGCCTTTCTGTTCTCTTCAGTCCCTCGCCGGTTTGGATGATGCCCGCCCACACCCTACCCCCCAGTGTGATGGCATTAGGAGGTGGCGCCTTTGGAAAGTGATCAGGATTAGGTGAGGTCATGACGGAAGGGCCCCGGTGAATGGGATTAGTGCTGTTTTTAGAGTCAGGAGAGAGCTTCTTTCCTGTCCCTGTCATGTGAGGATACAGTGAGGAGTCGGCAGTCTCCCAACCAGAAAAGGGCTCTCACCAGAACCCAACTGTACCGACCTCCTAATCTTGGACTTCCAGCCTCCAGAACTGCGTGAATAAATTTCTGTTGTTGGTAAGCCACAGGCTATGGTATTTTTGTTACAGCAACCAACCCTAATGGGTTAAGACACCTGGGCAGCTGTAGGGCTTGGAGACAGAAACTTGGTAGTCTTCAGTGTGTAGATGATATTAAAAGCCATGGTCTGGATGAGACCATTTAGGGGAAGAATAAAGAGGAGGCAGCAGGGAGATCTGAGTGGTCACCGAGCCAGAGGAAACCTGGAAGGATGTCTGGGAACCAAGGAAAGAAAGGATTCCAACAGATAGAGAGTGACCAACTGAATTAGATGTTGCTACAAGGCCAAGTAAGATGGGTGCTGGGAGCTGAACCCCTGACTTGGGATGACTAAGGGCTGTGCTGACTTTTGACAAGAGTGATTTTGGTGGGAGGTATGAACAAAAGCTTGACTGGAGAGAATGGCAGGTGATGGCAGGGACTACTGACTGTTTATTTCAGATGTTCTGCTCCAAGGGGAAGCTGAGAAATAAAGGGTGGGAGCTGGAGGGACTGTGAGGTCAAAGGTGGTTCTCATTTTTGAAGGTGGGAAATACCACAGCACGCTTCCATGCGGATGGGCATGAGCCAGACGAGAGAGCCATTGATGGTGCAGGAAAGAGTGGGGAGAGTTGCTGAGTCCCTGCACAGGCACTGGGGAACAGGGCCAGCTGGGAGTGTGACTGTCCATCCTCGGGGACAGGAGGGAAGGCGGAGTGCAGGGTACATGTGTGAGTGGTTGGTAGATGTGGTCTTGGGAGGAGGGTAGTTCTCTACCAAACAGCTCTTCTCTTTGAAAGAATAATGTCTCTGTCTATTGCCTCTTCCCTGAGAGCTTCTCTCCTCTTCCTCAATGGCCTGTTGGGGATCCCAAAAGGCGGGGTGCATTTTTTTATAAAGAGAAAGTTGCTTCCCCACTCCTTTCCTCTCCATCCCATCACTTTTCTGTCCCTTGGACTCAGCTGGGGACCTAAAACACGTTTCTGTTAACACACCTGTCTTTTTCTCATTGTTCTTCATAGAGTTGTAGACTGGCAGAGCTGGAGGGACCTCCGAGGCCACCCAGCCAGTTCCACCCCTTTATTTTTACAGATGAGGAGTCGTGGCTCTGAGAGACCAAGTGACTCTCGCCAGCCAGGACTTTGATATGAACACCACTATTGCTGAGTTCAGCCATAATCGCAACACCAGCCGATGGCTGGACGTACACCTGGAATGACGTCATTGCTCTGTTGCTGATGCTGCACTCTTGCCCTACCTGTACCTGGCATGTTCTCTATGCTACTTAGCCCAGCATCAGTGAACCAGTCCCGGACGAGGCCTATATTACAGATCTCACAGATCAGACCGTGGATGTCATGCTAGCCACTGCAGCCCCAGACCTGGGGGGGATGGGAAACTACTCCCGGCTTTCCTTTGCAGATATTTACATTCTGCAAGTGAAAACCCTGAGGAACTGAGGAACAGAACATATTGCTCAAGGTCACAGAACAACTACTGGTGGACACCTGCTATCTCGATGGCTACAGCAACAGGCCCTGAGAAGGCAGCAGATGCTGTAATTCCTAGTTGGCAATGGTAAACTGAGGCACAGAAGAGGAAAGCGGCCTCTTCAGCTGCCCTGTGGGGGCACCAGGCAGGAGGACTCAGTCTTTCCGTGGTTGCCTTGTGTTGACTGTAGTTGTCCCTTGGTGATTCTTAAAGGATTTTTAAAGGTAAATAGAAAATGATGATAGAAGACTCTGCCCATCAGTTTGGCTAGCTTTTTCTTTTTCTTTCTTATTTCTCATCCATTACTAGAAGAAGGTATTAGCCATTCCATTTTGGTTTTATCAGGCCTGTGTGTCCCTTGGAGCTGCCCTTGCAAGCCGCCGGAGAGGTGGGAGCATCCACAGGTTTGCATTTCTGTCCTGCAGAGGAAGGTTTGATCACCAAGGCTGCTCTGTGGCCTGTTGTTTAGTTTCCTTCTCTCAGACTTCCCAGCAAAGAATGGGTGGCGATGGTGTTGGCAGATCCGGCTGGCCCTGCCAGGTTTGGGTCTTCAGGCTGTTCTCTCTCCTGGGCACAGGGCTGCCCCTGGGCGGTGCTAACCGCAGCCCCTGCAGAGAGGCACAGGGAGCAGCAGCCGGCCCCCAGCCCAGGGCTGTGTTCTAAGCGTCTGGTTCCACTTCAGGCATCGATCTCTCTGCAAATACATAATGCACAGCACCAACCACCTCTGAGCCCTTCTGCCCGATCCTGAGAAAGGGGGAACAGATAGAGGTTTTGGCTACACCAAGTAAGAATAAAGCGAGGCAGTGAGGGAGGCCAAGAGAAGATTTCGTGAAGCCAGTCGTTCCGTTCTAGCCATGAGAACCCCAGATGAGACTTTTACAAGAAGAAGCTGCCCCGCAGAAGCCGGGCAACAGAGCGTCCATTCCCAGGGAGAGCTTCTGAGCTCCCCAAAGCCCAGAGCCATTTACTCTCCCCAGGAAAGTTTCCTGCCACAAAAGCCAGCCACTTCTGCAGCGTGACCTCCAAAATGACAGCTGGGGTGGCAGTCACAAGGATCTTGTCCTGACTCATCCCCAGCAGATGCCCTGTTGATCCCATTGATAAAAGCTCGCAGCCACCGCCGCCACTGTGCGCCTGGGCAGCCAGCCAAGCAGGGCTTCATTCACTGACAGGCGGCCGGGCCGGGGGGAGTGGGGTAGGGAGGTGCAGGGGGACACAGGCCAGGGAGCAGCTGAGCAGAGGCCCCGGTCTGGCCCAGGACTAAGTGAGCCAGGGGCATCGGCCAAGGGGTGGCCACCTGCAGGTTGGGGCTCCGCAGGACGGGAAGTAGCCCAACTCCTGAAGGCCACAGGTCTGCTCAAGAATCCAAGAGTAACCCAGACAGGGTACCCCCGCCCATGGCTTCCTGGGCCTGCAAAAGGCCTCTGGGAACGACTGGATCAGTTCTTCCCAAACCTTGGGGCTCGTGAGAATCACCTGGGGTGCTTGTAAAATACAGATTTCCAAGTCCCACTTGGAAAACGCGCCCTTGAGGAGTTGGCCCCAGGAATCTGTATCTTTAACACATTCTCCAGATGTTTCTCAGGGTCCGTGCAGTCCTGGCCTGGCCTTTGGGGACCACTGTAGAGGCTGCACCCTCTTCCAGGTGCCAAGGCAGGACTCAAGTCGAAGCCATCTAGGAAACTTGCCGGACTCTACAGCTGCTCATGGGCATAGACTTTTGGGACCTACAGATCCTTTCAGTTTCGATCCTGCAACCATCTCGTTGTGGGTGTGGTAGGAAAATTGTACAGTGCACCCCTGGCCCAAGAAGGTACTGCCCTGTCACTCTCGATCCTATTGCTACCAAACCCGAAGCGAGGTCCCTCACCTGCCCGCAGCAAGCCAAGCTGTGACACCTGGTGTCGTGGAAGAAAGCAGGAATTTTACTGCAAGGTGCTGAGCAAGGAGAACGGGCAGCTAACGCTGTCATGCCAAACTCCCCGAAAAGCTACAAGCAAGGGTTTTTATTTAGGGCTTTAGGTAGGGGAGGGGAAGCATGTGGCCTTGGGGGCTGAAGTTTTAGAAGTCCTCTTTGCAGGCACGACTTTCACATTTCTTCACCGGCCGCACATGCAAATTTGGCGGTGTGTGTGGGGGGCGGTGTGTGTGTTACATGTGGTGGATTTTTGGTCTGTGATGTCTAAGTTTACAGTCAGTCCTTGTAGCTTCTCAGTGCTCCCGCGAGATGCTGGGTCAGGTGGGGGCTGTCAGCTGTCCACCTGCTGTTCTGCAAGGCGAGCTCAGGAACTTTGATACTTGGTTTCCACATCATCCTTGTTGGTAGGAGGCTCCGTTTCACCTGAATCCAGGGAAATTTCAACTCTTTCGTTCTGGGTTTCACTATTACCTGGTGTTAATATATATGTGGCCCTTATCACTCTCTGAAACACTTTATTACTTGCTTACTGGTTAGTTGTCTATCTCCTGCCGTTGAAACTGTGTTTCCACAAAAGCAGGGGCCTCTTCTGTGCTGCTGACTGCTGTCTGCCTAAGACCCAGAAACGAGCTGGCATGTCCCTGGGCCTCTATCCCTGCTTGTGTGTTGGATTTGGTTTACAAGATACAAGAGGCTCTCCAGAAATCTCCCAGAGCTGCCTGGGTTTTCAGGGAAGCACCGGCACTCGCTGTCCCTCTGCCCCTCTTTAGCGAGAGCAGGCGGGGGTCCCTCCAGAGGCCAGGGCATTTCAGCTCCTCCCAGTGACAGGGCGTCCCACAGGGCCTGGGGGGTGGCTTTTATTTGTTTAGTTGGTTGTTTTTTAAATGAGTCTCCCTGCAAAATGTTATGTATATCTTACTCAAGTCTTGACTCGATGGCATTCCTGGAACAAAGAGACGTTCTTTAGGCCCTACCCACGATCCACACCTCCACTCGCTGAACGTCGATAGTCACGTGGAGAGAGCTCTGCGTGGGCTTCTGCAAGTCTGAAACCATCTCGTCACCGGGCGCAGAGGTGCTGGTGGGCGGGGAGTGAGAGGGGGGGGAGGCCGCCACGGAGATGGGAGATGGTGGTCTCCCTTCCCGCCAGGGAGAACCCAACTTCCTTTCTGCCTGATGTGCTCTCAACAGCCTGTTTTGCAGAACCACAGGCAAAGTTGAAAATAAAGACAGAATACCGGTTGCTAATGGGGTGTTAGGAGCAACTGAGAAGGTTCCAAGTTCAGCCCTACAGTCCACGTAGGCGCTAGATTTCCACGTGGCTGAGTGTCGCTGGAGCAACACGTGGCATGCGGCTACTGCTTTGCCTGAGTGTGGGGTGTGTGTGTGTGTATGTGTGTGTGTGTGTGTGTGTATGAGAGAGAGAGAGACAGTCCCGTTGTCATCACTGGGTTGTGGAAGAGGCGGTGCTGTTCCATGCAGGAGTCAGGAGAACCCAGGCTTGGGGTCCAGGCCGCCCTCTGAGAACCTTCTGAGGAAGGCGTTAAACCTCTCCAAGCTCAGGGTCCCATCGGTACAGCTGGGACTTGCCCGCCAGTCATGGGGGTGTTGTGAGGAATAACAGAAAAGTATTCACTTAGCAGAGTTCCTGGGACCACGTAACTCTGTTTTTGCTCTTGCTATGGCTATCATTTGGGTGTGTGTGTGTGTGTGTGTGTGTGTGTGGTAAAATATACATAAAGTCACCATGTTAAACATGTTTAACTGCACAGTTCAGTGGCATTGAGTACATTCACATTGTTGTACAAACATCACTACCATCCATCTCCAGAACTTTTCATTTTCCCAAACTGAAATTCTGTCCCAATTAAACAATTCCCCAGTGCCCTCTGCCCCCAGCCCCTGGCAACCCCCATTCTCCCTTCTGTCTCTATGAATGTGACTACTCTACGTACCTCATATAAGTGAATCGTACAGAGTTTGTCCTTTCGTGCCTGTTTTATTTCACTGAGCATAATGACCTCGAGGTTCATCCATGTTGAAATGTGTCAGAATTTCCTCCCTTTTTAAGGCTTAATAATCTCCCACTGTGTGGATATACCACATTTTGTTTATCCATTCATCCTTTGATTGACATTTGGGTTGCTTCTACCTTTTGGCTATTGCAAATAAGGCTGCTATGAACACAGGTGTGCAAATACCTCTTCGAGTCCTGGCTTTCCATTTTTCTGGGTCTATACCAGAAGAGCAATTGCTGAATCATATCGTAATTCTATGTTTAACTTTTTGGGGAACCATCATACTGTTTTCCACAAAATGTACTGTTTTACCGTCCCACCAACAGTGTACCAGTGTTCCAATTTCTTCACATCCTTGCCCAAACTTATTTCCTGTTTTTTTAAAAAAATAATAGTCATCTTATGGCTATTGTTTTTTAAGTTACTAGTGTTGAGACATAGTAAACGTTTCTTTTTTTCCATGTTTCTTGGTGGGATCCACTAAGCCATACCAGTGTACTGTGTGTGGTGGAGACCACAGAAATTCAGTAAAGAAGGGGAGCGGGAAGAAGACGGGATGAGAGGAGCACTGTGTAATTTATCGAGAGCTAAGTATTACGTAATTTGTGGAATGTGTAGAAGGTACACACTGATGCGGAGTGCACACTGCTGGAGGTGTGTGGCGGCTGCCCCGTGAGTGCGTGTTGGGCGGACTAGGCATCAGTCTGGGAGGAAGAACTAGCATTTATCAAGTGCCAATAAGCTGTCAGACCCAATGCTGGGCATTTACTCCTCCTGGTAACTGTGTTTTGGAGGAAGTGATGAGTCTATGTACAAATGAGAAAATTGAGGCCCAGGAAAACTGGTGAGGAGCCAGTGTTCCCGTGGCTGGTGAGGGGCAGAGTCGGGATTTGAACCCAGGCCCTCCGTCTCCACATTGGAACTGAGGAGGCCACCACATTTGTGCCTGCCCTGGCCTTAATGCATAACCTGACCATAGACAAGTTGTTCTCTCTTCTGAGCCTTGATGTCCTCATCAGTGACGTGGGGGTGGAATGGAGAGCCATTTGAGCCCCAAGGTCCTCTGCTTCTGTGGGGCTCTGCCCTCCACCTCATCTTGGGAGAACTTAGGCCTTTGGGCTGGGCAGGGAGGGGCCACCACGTCCCTGCCCAGCCATGAGCTCGAGGGGCCCACAATCATGTGCAGGTGTGTGCAATGGCAGGAAAGGCCCAGCCAACAAGAAAGTCTAAATGAGGATCACCTGAAGAGCCTTCTGGACACGTCTACAGGCACTGGCCCGGCATCGGGGGCTCGGCTTGCTGCCCAGCTGCAGCCCTAGTCTCAGGCTGGTGGCCTCCATCTCCCAGACCCAGACTTTCCTCCTGTGGCTGATGATGAGGAGGAGGAGGAGGCGGAGGATGGCTAGACTTTCTGGAGTGTTTACCATTTCTAACAATAAGCACTAGAGATGAATTATTTAGTTTAACCTCCCAATAACGAACTCTGTGAGGTAGGTAGTGGTGGGATCCCTTTGCTACAGAAGAAACGGAAGCCTAGAGTAGTTATGCAACAGTCCCACAGACCCCAGGATGGAGGGGCCGGATTTGAGGACCTGCCCTTCCTCTGCTGCTGGCATTACTGGGACAATCAGAACCAAGCTGATGTAAGAACATATATAAGAGTGACTTCCGGGTGGAAAATGTAATGCAAAGAACAAACAAGGTACTTTTATGGGTAAACAAAGACCAGTGGAGTTGAGGGTAGAAAGCTAACGTCTTGTAGAAGCTGTTTATCCGCCCCAATCCTCAGTTTGCTCATCTGTAAAATCAAAAAACCACTGCACCCCCAGCTCATGAGACAGAGTTGGTGGGAGGGTGATGTGAGAGAACAATTCTAGCCTTGCTTAAAAAGCCATAAAGCACAGTCCATGCTGGCTGATGACAGAGAGAGGCCTGGGGGCCAGGCCATCAGTGGGAACGCTCATTCGTTTGGTAGAAGTTTCCTGGGCTGACTCTGTCGAAAGGAGGTGACATTCAAAGATGTCCGAGACCCGGTCTCTGCCCTCCGGGAGCTGTTTGGATGGCGGGCAAAGAGACCAAGGCACACATAACCAAAAACCAACTCCTCAAGGCAGAGAGTGCGAAGTTTCTCGAAGGCGGAACCTCCAGAGAGCCTGAGGTAGGTTTGGGAGGAAGAAGTCAGGGCAGGCTGCCTGCAGGAGGCGGGCAGCCTGGGAGGGAGAGGGTTGATTTTCGATTTCCATAGACATGCAGCGTGGGAGCTGAGTGCTCACTGTGCCCCATCTGGGAGACTCGTTCCCCCACCCCACTTCTCATCCTTGTCTCTGCTGGGAGTCCTCCTGCTAAGAGCGGTCATCTTCTTTTCCTCCTCTTCTTCAGCAGAGGTGCACTGGGCATGTATTATTATGATAATTAAGTTAATATTTTATATTTTATAGGCTTAAATCTTTCATTCTCCCATAATGCACGGAGTCCCTGGGGAACCCAGAGTGCTCCGAGAACTCCATGGAGGTCCCAACTGAAAAGAAGCTCCGCTGGGTGAGCCTCAGCTGCCCAGGGCTGGTGAGGGGGCACCGCCATGCCCAGAGATCTAGCAGGACGACGCACAGGCTGTCCCAGCCTCTGCGTTACAGTCTGGCTGCTGGGCCAAGCTCAGCCCCGGGCTAGCTGGCAGCGCTGGCCGGTCTCCACCCATGTCTGCGGAGTTCCGGAGACCTGTCAGGGGAAGGATCGTGTGGGGCCTCCTCCTCAGGCCCCGGGGGCTAGGCGTTCCTGGGGGAGCTGCTCCCACTTCTGCAATGGCAGGGGCTGTGACAGCACCCACTTCGGGGACCCTAGTGTTAGTAGTAAATCGACAAAATGGTGTGAAGTGAAAAGGGCAGAGGGCAGAACAGTGTGTTTCCAATACGTCCTAGGGATAAAAAGAGGGGAAGGTGGGACAGTGTATGTGTATTTGCTCATATCCGCATAAAGGACCTCTGCAGAGTCAGAGTATGGGGGCGGGGTGTGGGGTGGCCAGAGGACTTTATACACACATATATATATTTACAATATGTGTGTGACTGTACACTCAAACATGTATATGTAGGTATATATATAAATTTTTGAACAATTTGATTATATTAAATAGTACATTAAAACCATTTTTATTGTCTTCTTCACCAATAGTGTGAGGCCCCCGGGGCTTCTGCGCCCTGGCCTGGGCCAGGTGGAAGGGGGCTTGCCTTCAAGCCTTGCCAAACCCCCCCACTGCCCAGGGCTCTGGGCCCTGGGCCCCACTCCTCTCCCTCCAGCCTCCTGCGTCTGTCCCCTGGGACTTGGCTTCCCTCACAGCTCCCTGTCCCCCAACTCAGCTCCCCACCTTTCCTGCTTTCTGACCTGCATCTTCCACATCAACCCCCGTGCTCACCTGTCTCCTCCACCCGGCTGCTCAGCAGGTCTGTCAAATCCATTTGTTCTGAGATGTTCACAGCCGTGGATGACACATGTCAACCAGACAGCACCCCCAGCCCCGACTGTGATAGTAATCCGTTCTCATGGGATAAAACATCCATTTCTAAATGGCCCGCCATCAACTGCCCGCTACCCCGAGATCAACTGTCAACTCTTTCGTTCCTCTCCTTTGCTTTGCCAACATTTGCAAAGTCAACATTATTTTCAAAGCTAAGTTGATATCATGCCCTTCCTATAATTTTCTGTTTTGCTTGTTTTCCCTGAATATTGTTATAAGCATTCTCCAAGTTTTTATAAACTCCTCGTCAATAGCATTTCTAAAATTTATCATAGAGATGTATGTACATCGAACTCCCTAATTTCTAAACAGCGTTTACACTCCGACCCTGGCCGGGGCAGTAACCATACCTCAAATGCTTGTGGAGGGGATGGAACGTGCTGATGTCCATAAAGGGCCTGGACCTCCATCAAGCCTGGAGCAGACGTCCGAAAAATTCCCTGCGGATCCTCTTGACCAATACACCCACCTGAATCTAGGAGTCTTCTTCAGGCCTCCAACACTAAGGTCTGGTGTTCCCTGTGAGAAAGTGACAGTTGTGACCAGTGATTCCCATCCGACAGGAGGCCACTGGAGCCCAGAAGGAAGGAAGGAAGGAAGGGGCCCATTTCTGAGGAAGGGAAGTGGAAAGGGGGGCACCTTTGCCTGTCTGCCCCCTCTCCGGGGCTTCTCATTGCACGGCCTCGTTCTTCTTCATACTTCCTCACCTCCCTCAACTGAGGGAGGCGGAGGCCTGGCTGGAGCGGGGGTGGGAAAGGTGAGCACTTACTCAAGGGCGGGGAACTCCAGGCCTGGGGGCATGAATAATTCAGTGTATCAGCAGTCAGCAACCTATGCTTTTGAGGAGTGAATGGGAAGCTTGTTCTGCTGAGGGGCTGACATCCTTTTGCTCTTTGGGGAGCAGCTTTTCCCTGTTCCATGGAACTCTGGCGTGAGCTGCCTTGGTCAGCTTGTTGAGCGGGAGCTGTATGCGCAGGTAGGGCCTTGGACATTTGCTCATTCATTCAGCAAACATGTATGCAACCACTTGCTGTCCTGGGGGCTGTGCTAGGGAGGGGTGAATACAAATAAGAGTTGGGTGCAAGTCCTTGGGGAGGGTGTGTGGTCATCACGGGGGCCCAGCCAGCCGCCAGTGCCGACATCTCCCCGCCTCACACCGAACAATCTCATTCCTCCTGCTCACCTTGGACATTGAGGTGGTCTCCACTCCGAGTCCTTTGTTGGCACCTGCCATGTCGCCATCTAGGCGCCATTGTCTTCATCTGTAAAAGGACAAAGGTATGCAGAGGTCCCTCATGGTCCCTCCAGTAAGCGCTCATCCAACACACACAGGCCGTGTCTGGTAAGACGGGGGCGTGGCCTCAGCCCACCCAGGGTTGTGTAGGCTCTCCAAAGCTGCAGAGCTTCTGCCTCCAGGCTTTATCAGTCCGGTCACTCTGTTGCCCTCACAGGTCCTCAAGTTCTCTCCTTCCGTGTGCCTCCCTCTGCCTTTTGAATCCATGCTTTGCCTCCTTTCTGTTTCAGATCTGTTAAGTTAGCTCTGAACTGGATTTTTATGACTTGAATACTTGGCGTGTTTCCTCCTCTTGGCTTTTCATTGGTGAAGCAGGTGAGCTGAGCGGGTCCTTTCCTTCTTGGGCCTCTGTAGCAGCTTTTACTCTTCAGGCTTTTTCTTGCTTGAGTTTGCTTGGATCTCGCTGGCTCCAGCTGGGTTCTGGGTCCTCCCTGAACAAGCTGCTGTGGCCAGGGGAACATGAGCTCCGAGCGGCCACATCTCAGTGACCTGCATTCCCTGAAGTGGAGAGTGGAGGGTGAACTGAGAGTTGGGAGTGTGGGGAGGCTCCTTACTGGAAAATGGGTGAACGGAACCAGGGAGCTAAAGCAACAGAAACCCGCCTAACGCCCTCTGGCCAAACTGAACAAAACTAATTATTTCTCCAAATCCACAAAGGACGAAAATCACTAAATTTATTAAATGACTAAAACTACTTCTCTGAGTTCCTGAAATATCCTCTTCCCCTCTCCCCTCAATTTATTAGTGTCCTCACGCCCCACAACAAATCTTTTCCTGCTCTTTGGTTTAATTATACTTAAAATACCTGTGTGACCTTGGGTGAATCCCATGACCTCATGGGGATTCAGATCCCTTATCTATAAAATGAGAGGGTTGGCCCAAATTATTAATTTTCTAACATTTTAAAAGCAGAGGCATCTTTTTCTCAAATTAAATCCCACACAAAGTCCCAAAATGCAAAATAGATATGAGTTATGTTGTTTGTATAAAAAAGGGCTCCATAAGTTAAAACTTAGAATATTCACTTTTTATTAAATAGGTAAATGAGAAAAAAATGGATCTATTCTGACAACACACAGATTTGAAATCTTGGGTTATAATCATATACTTATCAGTCTTGGCATTCAATTATTCCATTTTACATGTGTGTAACCCAGTTTCAAGAAAATTCTGATCAGCTGAAGTCAATAGTTGTAAATGGTGAGGGCTCCATTTACGTTACAGCTCCATTCCAGCAGCTCAACTTATAATTGTTGAGCTGTTTCCTCTTCAGTGAAACAGATCCAGAAACTTGACAGAGGAATAGTGGATAATTTTTTAGCATCACTAAACGACATCCGTTCCTTATCATAAATGTGAATGGGATAATAATAAATAGAAAAGGCGTTGACGTTATCTGTGAGATGATGACGCGTGACGGGTTGTACATTCTCTGTGATTGCACAGCTGGCTTTCACACCCAGTCTGGGAGGCATCTCGAGCGTACATACGCCTGGCACTCACTGAGCACAGCGCACAGGAGCTGTCTTCCTGTGCTGGCAACGCGTCTAACAGGATTGGGCGTGCACAGCTCTATGCACACAGAAGACCTCCGTGCAGTCACAGCCGTCTTCCAGGGAGTTCAAACATGAGAGGCTCCAGGCCTGGCCTGCACAAATGTGGCATAAGCCGGTGGCCCAAGTTAATGGTACTGGCGGCTTCCAAGGTGTCAAAATTTGGAACGTAACTAAGAGCGAAAGGACTGTTTTTTATTGTGGTCTAAAAACATAGTTATATCAACCTAATAAAACTTGCCTCCAACTTCTGTTGAACCCCCAAAAGAATCCCCTAAAATCTTGAGAGCAATGTTTCTCAAATTTTAGCATGGGTCAGGTTTACCGAGCTAAATTATCAAAATGTAGTGTGCCATCTCCTAGGGTTTGTTGAAATACAGATTCCTGGGCCACAGCCCCCGGGATTCTGCCTCAGCAGGTCTGGGGTGGAGCCTGGGAATTCGCATTCATAACCAGCTCCCAGGTGATGCTGACACTGCTGGTCCACACTCAGTAGTGAGATTCACGTTCAGCCACTTACTTTAAACATGTGATTCGCTGAGGCAGGATCCAGAGTGGATTCCTCTAGTCCCCTCCTGTTATCTAGGCTAGATGGCCGTCTAGGATTGGGACTAGAAACTTTCTGAGAATCCCATGAGCTCTGACATGCTCTTTTCCCTGCCCGTAAGGAAGGCACTTTCGCAGGTAACTGCTCAGCAGACACAGGAGCGCCAGATGTGGCGTGAGACCTACCATTTTTCCTTGCTGTGAGCGGTGGCACTTCAAGGAAACCACTTACCTCTCTGTCCTCAGTTTCCTCATATGACACATCAACTCATTCATCTCCTCCCTGCCTCCCCCACAGGATGATGGATCTGAAAGTGTTTTGTAAATAACCCATCACTGTCTGCACACATGGAAGGAGCCGTTACTATCAATATCTGTGAAATCCTTATTCATGCTATTTCTGGGCAGAACAAGATATTTCAGGCCTCTGAATTCTTCAGCAAGAACCCCAAGTTGCAGCTCAGGTTCCGGAAGTTTGGCTCCAGAGCAGAACTGGCTCTCAGCCCTCTGTGTCCCTCTCCAGGGTGCCCTCTGTGTGGATGCTCCGAGCCTCGGCTCACCTCCTTAGGATCCTTTCCCCCTTGGAGGTTGGACGAGCCTGTCTAGGGGCAGAGACCTGCCTTGGTCCTCTATCTCTCCCGGGCGCACTTCACTCAGGGTCTGAAGCAAAGCACTCCATCTGTTTGATCTCCTGGCTCCTGTGGGCCTGGGGAGGGGCCTCAGCTGCTGCACCCCAAGAAGGTGATTTGATGATACTGCTGATGCTGGCAGTGATGCCGATGGTGCGGGCTGGAAATGGGGTGCTACGTCATCGTTGTCATCGTCATCATCATCATCCAAGCAGCCACCAGGTAGCTTGTCCCCAGGCTGGGCACTGGGCTGTATTTGTCATCCTTTGTCTCTGGACCTCAGGGCAGCCCCTGAAGGTAAGTATCATCATCCGCAGTCTAGAGATGCAGAGACTGAGGCTCGGAGAGAATGCGTCACTGGCCCAAGGTGACGCTGCTACTAAATGTGTATGGATCTGAAACTCGGAGTCTTTGGAGCACCAGCTGGTGCTACCACCTCCTTCTCCCACCTTGCCTCTCAAGGTTTGGCCAGCACATTAGCAACATACCCTGGGAGAAGCCCGTCATATTCATTATTGCAAGGAAACAGGCAAGGCTGGCCTGGGATGTACAGAGATGGGTGTGCTGGGTCAGGACAGAGCACAGAGCAGCCCTGGCCATTAATGTCACATACACACCCTTTCAACCTGTCACCCTTGTCCCCATCAAAGGCAAGAGGGAGGGTGGACAGGCCTAGGCAGTTTGCACCTGGGGCCTGGCAACCATTGGCCTCCCCAGTTGCTGGCATCTTTAGGAGCCTGAGCTCAGGGCTAAGGTCATCTCCCATTCCATCCAGTTTTAAGCTGCTGTCCGGCTGACCTTCCTCAGATGCACGCCACTCCCCTCCTGGAAAGCCTCCCAGGGCTCCCTGTTCCTTATAAGGTAAAAGCCGAGCTGCTGAGCCCAGCACCGGGCCGTGTTGTCTGGCTCCCCAGCCTGGGCCGCATGTGGCCCTGGCCCACTGGAGCTCTGGACATGGACCTGCTTCCCATTTCCCATAAATGTCCTCAGCCTTTTGCCTTTGTGCCTTTGCTCATGCTGTTCTCTCTGTCTGCGGTGTCCTTCTCTCTTTGTTTGGCAAATTCTGCTCATCCTGCAAAGCTCAGTTAAAGTTCTTCCCCTCCATACCATCTTTCATCCTCTGCCACCTTGAGATCCTCCATGCCTCCCTCCTTGCCCTCCCACGCAGCCTCCTCTGTCCCTCTCACGTGGCGCTCACCACTTTCCCATCTTCTTCTTTCCCCCATCCAGGTGTGTGCTTGTTGAGGGCACGCAGTTTCTCTGATTTGGTTTTGATCGTGGACAGTGCTCTGCAGACAGCTGGCACTCAACACATCACTGTTGAATAAATGACAGGCCGTGCTAGGGTGACAAGCACGCTGCTCGTGGACTTTGAGAATCAGGGTCTAGTCCTGGCTCGGCCATCGCTGGCCGGCTGACCTGTTCCTCTCCAGCCCTCCTCATTTGTAAAATGGGGGAGTTGGACTCCATGGGTGCTTCACCACCTCTGTGTACATAAGAATACCGGGGGAGGGACCGGCCCGGGGTTGCAGTGGTTAAGTGCGCACATTCTGCTTCGGCGGCCTGGGGTTCGCTGGTTCAGATCCCAGGTGTGGAAGTGGCACCACTTGGCAAGGCATGCTGTGGTAGGCGTCCCACGTATAAAGTAGAGGAAGATGGGCACGGATGTTAGCTCAGGGCCAGTCTTCCTTAGCAAAAAGAGGAGGACTGGCAGCAGTTAGCTCAGGGCTACTCTTCCTCAAAAAAAAAAAAAGAAAAGAATACTCGGGGACCTTGTTTAAAATGTATATTCCCAGGCCTCTCCCAGGAGTCACAGTCTGAGGCTGTCAGGTGGGCCTGGGGATCTGCACAATTCACACACATCCAGGGAGCTTTCGGTGGCAGGTGGTTCTCAGACTACTCTTCGAGCAACTCTGGTCCAAGTAGACTTTGAGGCAGGTCCTTTCTGAGTCTGAGGGGCTGGTAGAGCTGTGAGGGGAAGAAGGGGCTATGGAGCAGTGCCCACAGTGGGGGAGGCAGGAGCCATCATCATCATCACCATCACCATCATTATCATCATGATTATCCTCATTATCATCTCCACTACCGTCACCATCACCATCATGATTATCTTCATCACCATCACCATCATATTCACCATCACCATCATTACCATCATGATCATCACTGTCCTCACTACTACCATCATTGTCATCACCACCACCATCATCATCATCACCATCACTTATCAGTATCATCATGATCATCTTCATCATCATCATCATCATCATCACTATCGGCACCACCACCACCACCATCACACCATCACCATCACCAGCAAAGCCACCACCATCCTCAGTGTTCACTAGGGGCCAGGGCTCATGCTAACACCTTTATAGGTGTTATTTCCTTCAATCTTCTCAAGAGCTTTGTGAGGTAGGGCTCAGAGGGATGCCTGGCCAGGCTCCAGAGCAGACCCTGGGTGCTCCAGTCTGCAGATGGCCCCAGGTGCCAAGCCATCCTTCTGTGGGAGTGAGCCTGCACCTTCTCCGGAGAGCCTGGAGAGAGCAGAAAGGGTGCTTGTCCTCTCGACATCCCTTGCTTCGCCCAGCGCGTCTCTATCACAGGCCTCCTTCGTACCAGATGCCAGGTTTGAATTTGATCCAGGCCAACGTTTTTTTTCCATTTTCACAAAACAAAGATTTTATTTTTTCCTTCCTCAACCCCTTCCTCCCCAATCTAAACTCCTGCAAAAATAGCGTGCGTAGCTGAGCCTCGGGCCAATTTGTATCTTTGTGCTCAGCACACGTACTCCATCTTTCACACCACAAACAGCTTTGCTCAGGAAAAATATGTTTTAGTTCTGCAAAACTGCCATTTTAGGGCAACACATAGAAGGCAGAAAGAGACTATTTCACTTTTTCTTACCCTGGAAAAACCCACCAAGATGTTGTTTTCCTTTGCTTTTTCTGGAGGGGAGATATTTTTTGACAGCTTTCATTGCTAATCTGGCTCTCAGCCCTGCGTCTAGTGCCAACTTGTGGAGGAAGCAGAGGAAAAACTAGATGAGCAAAGGCAAGTTTCTCCTAGAGGGGCACCAGCACCCTGGAATTCAGGAGTTGTGAGGGACCTCGTGGTCAGCCCCGTCTCCTGTGCCATGGGAGCCCTCTCTCGGAAGCCCTGGGTGGGGGCACAGCCATGGCAGGGCACAGGCTGCCTGCTGGGGGTCCTGGGGTGCACTCATTCAACAAACATTCTGCCAGACTTTCTGTTTACAGACTGGAGACTGGGTCAGGTGCTTTGGATTCTGCCTCCATACTTTCCAGTCTAGTTCAGAGTGAAGAGTTGTATAGTCCATCGCTAGAATGTTGAGTAGAAAAAGTGAGCTGTATCGACTGGAAAGTGTGAACGAAGTCCTTGTTTCACATGTGAGGTTCGTGTTAGCCAGGGGAGTTAGGGAGGTGTGGAGGAAGAGGTGGCTCTGGAGCTGAGTCCGAACTTTCCAGTGAGGTCCTCTCTAACATACCAAAATCGACCTCCAGGACACCTGCACCCGCTGGCCCTCTCTCCCTGGCCCAGCTCAGGGTGAATCTCCCTTCCGTGTATGGCAGCCCTTCAGCTGCCAACAGACAGCGGCTGGGTGTCCCTGGGTCTCTGCTTTTCTGGGCTCATCTCCTGGACCCTCGTGGCCTCATTGTTCTGTTCTCGTGGCCCACCTTCATGGCAGGGGTAGAATGGAGTGGTCTTTTCCCCTGTGGAGCCCCTGGGGGCTACCCTTGTCCTTGCAGCCCCAGGGCTGTATGTAGTCAGACCTTATTGCTTAGCAGCATTTTAGATGTGACAGAAACCCACTGAGCTGGCATAGCGCATTGGAGATGCCGCATGAGACCCAGGCAGGAGTGCAGCTGAGCCTCGAGATCATGGCGGATCAGGAGGTGGGAGTCCCAAGGATCACAGGCACTTCTCTCCACCCACCCCCCTCTCAATCTCTGCAGATTCCCTCCCAATACCAAACTCCGATGGTCTCAATTGATGGCCTCTGATGGCCAGGAGCTCTTCTGGTGAGAGAATGGGGTCTGAGGAAGGACTTCTGGTTGGCCCAGCTCCAGTCAGGAGTCTGTCTGTGGTCCGATGAACAGAAGATGGCAGAGCCCACCCCTGTGATGGGGGGAGGGGCAATTAGAGAAGGAATTCACTGTTAGCCGGGGAGATGGCCTCTCGGTGTCCCCTCTACCAACTGCCTTCTACTAGCTGTGCGACCTCCCTGGGCCTCAGTTGCCTAAGCTTTAAGATGGTAACAAAACCACCTACTTTTTAGGATTCTTGTAATAATTAAATGAGACAGCACCTAGAGCACTTCCCACAGGCCTGGCCCGTGGTTCACATCTGTTAAGTGATAGCAACATGATGGATCCGAAGGGAGCCCTTCTGGCTGGTCTTCCCATTGGGGGCTTTCAGACGAGGGTACCAAAGTAGGGAGGTTTCATTTTACACCATCCCCACCCTCCGTGCCTAGGAGATGGTTGATTTGGCTGGTTAGCGCTGTGCCATGAGTCTTCCGATGCCCCTCACAGGAGGTGCCTCACCCTTGCCCAACAGGAGGCTGGGCTGGGCCTGTGTCCTTACAGCCACAAGGACATTGACTGAGCCGTACCCCCGCCCCCTCAGGAATATCTCTCTGACTCACAGGTTTGGTACTATTATTGTTGCAGGTTTGTGTGTAGGATGGATGGGATAGAAGGAGAATAGAGGTCTGAAGACCAGGTAGACTATAACAATTGTTCTAAAGTGGATGGAAAATAGCTTGAATCAGCATAGTGAGGCAAGGATGGGAAGGAAAGGATTAGTCTAAGAGAAGTTTTGAAGGGAAAATTGAAAGGTAAAGGTAAGAATCTGAGTAAGAGAGAGGAGGTTTCAGGGGACTGGCAGAAGGACAAACGGACATACCACTGAGATGAGGAAATGGGGATGGTTGGCTTGGCTAGGGGAGACGACGAGGTCCTTTCTTTGACATGGTGAATGTCTCAGACCGTTCGGGCTGCTGTAACAAATACCACAGACTGGGCAGCTTAAACAGCAGCCATTTATTTCTCAGGGTTCTGGAGGCTGGAAGTCTGAGATCAGGGTGCCAGTGTGGTTGGGTTCAGGTGAGGACCTTCCTACTTGACAGACAGCTGCCTTCTTGTTGTGTCCTCATTTGGTGGAGACAGCAAGCTCTGGTCCC